ATGATTCTGAAGTTCACCAGCCAGGTCTCTGTGTTTCAAGTGAAGCTTAAGCACTTGTACTCTCAAATTCTTAATGGCAGCCTGCAAATCAGAAGAAACCACCGCTTTCTGGCCCTGTCCTACAGTGAGTGGGAAGAAAGGGAAGTGAGTGATAAGTAGATAACAAGCTTAAATAATCTGTTTCTCGAAAAAGAAAAGTAAAGCACATTTTTTTACAAATGATCGTTACCAATAGATGAGACTGCCTTCTGAGAGGCAGCATACAGTCTATGCTTCAAGATGTTCAGCTCATCAAAAGAAGCTACTATATTGTGGAGTATGTTTTTCATCTTCATTGAGTTTCCACTATCTATCTTTCGACTTTCTTCAGTTGAATTCACAATTATGCAGGCTGAGCTACTTTCGGTTGCCCCTGTTTCTAATAGTCGGCTCAGGATAGCATCCTCGGGAGCTGATTCACAATCTATCGAAAGGCACATGTTATAACTATGTCAGTGTGAGAAGGGTGACAAATAAGCAAACACTTAAAAGGGTTAAAATTGGGAAAGACAAAGGAATGTTCAGATGGGGGGAAAACAAAACCGTAAAGGTCCCACTTTAATAAATATGAACCCACGTTTATTTATTCAAAATATGATTACTGTCCTGGCAACAAGAAACAGAAGTTTCTACTAAAACAATAAAATCCAACATAGTTATACTAAGATACATGGTACCACAAAATTAACATAGCATATGTACATTGTACAGATATGTAAAGAACACCACATGTAATCAGATACAGAGCGTACAAAGCAGGTAACTGACCATTTGGCGACAAACATCACAGAAAACCTCTCTTACGAACAAAAAAATGCCACAGCAAACAATAGCTCATTATTAAAATCTTATAGAAGACTCAAGTTGCTGAATAAACAGAAGTAAAACGAAGATGAAATACATAAAATGGGGCTCCTCCAATAGGCACCACTCACCATCTTTAACTAAATGGCAATCAAAACCTCTCCCATGTCTCACAAAGTCCAGTGTGCAATTAGAACGTGATTCCAGGTTATCAATCAGCTGTTACAAATGGAGCCAATGTCATGATGGGCAGGCAAACATTTGCAAATTCTGGATATTTCAACACACTGTAGCCATGTGTATTAGGTAAATGATGTAAATTGCGAGATTTTACATTAATGGCTGCACCCTAAGCAAGTTTATAACATCGATTAACACACAAATGAGATGTGCATTGAGGGACTCGAAATAACTCATTCAAGCGTATCCACAGTCTGAACCATATAATGCTAGAATTACATGGAAACAAAAGTGAGTTTGAATTTAAATTGGAGAAGCAGTGAATAACAGGAAACAAATCCATCAAAGTTATGTACCTCTTCCCATGAGTTATTGACAACAGATAGGATTTTCGCATGTGACTTTTGGTTGTCTTTCAACAGCAAAAATTTATCTTCAAGAGCATCAATCTCACCCTTCTGTGTTTCCAGCTTCTGCAAGAGTTTTTGATTTTGAAACTGAAGCACAGTGGCATCAAGCTGCACAAATGAAATTTGAACTATTAGGTGTCTGTAATTAGAAGACTTTTTTCAGAAGAAAATGTGTCGTGTAAGCAGGTTGGATCTTACCCAAAAACCAAACTAAAAAATGAACCAAAATCGAAAAGACAGTTTTTTCTCTCTCATATAAGAAGATTGGACCATTCCCAAGTTTTTTATTTGAAATGGACTGGGATTCTTAGACCGTACAATAAATGCATTTGCCCTATTACTGTGATAAATTGGTGTTGCAATTAGGTCCAATAATTTGCTTAATATATCAAATTAAAGCAAAAACAACACATAATAAGCATACATACAAATAGGCAGATAATTTACCAAAAAAGGAACCTCGTTAACAGAGTTAATCATGGCGCAGTAGCAACTAAAATCATGTAAAAAATGCAGACGCATATCCCCACTGTGATAATTCCATACTTCCAAACATGTGAGAACCGACATATAAATCTAAGCAGCTTATCATGAAAACATATCCTCTTTACACACCACTTCCATGTAGATCATCACATTTTTTCCAAATAACAATCAAAGCAAAGGTAAGAAACAAGACATACACATGAACCCCAGAAAATTAAAATTCCTGGTTAGTATTTGGTTGAAATTCCAAATGAATTTGAACCAAGTGGTGAAAGGATGACAGAGAAGCCAAAACAACAGAACAAAAAATATATGATAGTGGTTACACCACTTTTCCAGCTCAACCTCCGAAAGATGGGGTCTTGTAGAGGAATCTTTCCATATTATTGTCATCATTAAAATCCAGTTTTTGTTTGAAGACGATTATTCGTCAGTTAAATTCCTCACATCCTAGATCATTCGAGCAAAAGAAATAAAACTTTTGGCTCTAAGCTCAAACACAAAGCCCGGCAGCTCCATGAAATAAAACAAGTTAAATCTTTTTATCTATCCAACTAATCTGACATTTAAAAGAAAAAACAAAACAAAAAAAAAAAACAAAAAAAAAACTCAATAGATACCCTAGTCTAAACTAAAGACAGCTTCCTAACCATAAATTTGAAACATAACCCGGTACAAAATTCCAGGATGCAAGGGCATAAATTACATCTTCCCATATCTTAAGGTTACTAAAATGGAAAAAGGTAGCTCATACTGCATCTACATATGTAACTAATACTAAGTAATCATGTTTACAACATAATTCCACCCAAGTTCCCTTGTGCCCTAATCCATAGTATTAATTGAATAGCCCCAGCAAGCGAAATAACTCATGCAAGTGATGACGGACCAAAATTATAACCACTTAATCACTGCAATACACTTTTTCCAATAAAACAACAACTAAATAGCCTCAGCAACCACGCATACTTCAAGCAATAATCATTGATAAAAAAACTCAAATTCACTATATTCGGCAAGTCGCTATTAGAGCTCAGTAGTCTCATAAATCTAAAAGAATATCAAGTAAAAATTTCACCTTTTTCTCCTCAGGTAACGGCGCATGAGGTTGTTTCTTCCCCAAAGCACCGGCGGGCGATATAGAGCTAAAGTGACGCCTTTTCTTGTCAGTCTCACCTGTACTGCCCATTATAGTTCCACCACTCAAAACCCTAGAAACATCACACCTCCTCTATAACCAATCTACAAGAGGGCTTTGTAGTTCAACACACAAACATGCATAAAAATATGCATGTACAGAAAAAAGGTCCAGCCTTTTCAAGAATGATAAACACGGATTTGATAAAAGAGCCAAACGAGAATATAAAACACAAAATTTCTCCAACTGGGGAGATACCCTATACATCAGAAACTGAAAATTTTAAGACTTTTACAGGGTTCTTTCAGATTTGTTCTTTATCCAAATTTGATGCCCCTTTTATTGCTTATGTATGTAAACATGCTGAAAAAGTATGGCAAAATCACTCCCCCACAAAGAACCCCTTAAACCAAGGAGTGTGGAGACTGGAGAGGAAAGAGAACATGAAATTGGCTTAATACAATTGAAGGGCATATTAGGAAATCGATTACTACTCGGGGCAAATGCGTAGTTGGCCTGCTTTGATTTTTTTTTTTCTTTAATAATAAAAATAAAAAGGATTTCTATATTCTAGAAAGCAATTTGATACAATAAATTGTATAGATTGTGCGGTCATAAAATCTTATGTTTGAGTGGTTTGAATATTGTAATGAAAATCAAATGTGTTTTTAGTAAGTGGAAATGATCAAACAAACAAATGCGTCGAATTTGATTTATTGTTGAATAAATGAATATAAAGTAGAGAAAATTAAGGTAGATATAGAATTTGATTTAAGTGACTTAGTTAAATTTGGGCTATGATTTGGTTGGAGCTTTTGAGTTGTGAGGCGAACCGGACTTATCGTAGCATGGATGATGGCGAGAGAAGTTGGATTTCCATGCAAATTAGATAGGATAAATTATGTTAGTTATATTATAAATTGTTTGAATAGTTAGGGTATATTGAATATTTGAATGTTGTTTGTGCATGTAGAGTTATATATAGGACCTTTGTATGCATATTTGAAAGGAAGTTTTATAAAATAAAGTCAAAGAAAAAGATTCGTTTCTAAGTACTTTTTTCGTGAAAAACTGAGGTCGATAGTCCAAATATTTTCACTTATTAATGTGTAAACCAAGGTCGATAGTGCGGGTTTACTTATTTTATCGTGTTCGAACCAAGGCTGTTAGTACGGGTCTTACACAAAACTGAATCCCGATACACGGTCTTTATCAAGTTGTCACAACACTACATGGATCCACTCTTCCTAAGGGCATAACTAATTTAAAGGCAAATGGGCCTGCCCGCACTACTACACTGTATTTGGATAGACGTGGCCAGGGATCGGCTCAAACCGCCAGGTCGATTATTGAACTGGACCCGTGGTAATACCAGACCAATTCTGGGCCTTGATTTCTTTTTAAAATTCGAGCCAAAAGACAGGTTGACATTGTTTTTTTTTCTTATTATTATTATTAACAAAACCGACATCGAACAGATTTCGGGGCTAAGTTTTGAGGCCCGGCGACCCATCGGGCCGGGCCAGATCGTGACCTGACCCGCAAGTTGGTCATGTCTATATTTGGAGGGGTCAGTTTAAATTTCGAAATGAACTTAGTCATGCTCAACCTATAAACGAGCTTGAGTTCGACTCCTTGATACGAATCAAGCTGAATCGAGTTTACGAGCAACTTCTTCATTTAGCAATTCCACTCATATGCAACCATTTTACATTTTCTAGATTTATTAAGAGCTTTAAACAATTTGTTATGATTTACTGAAGGAATAAATGAAGGAAAAAATATTTAGTATTGGTTTTGTAGAGCATCCTTAAATAATAATAATAATAATAATAATAATAATAAAAAAAAAAAAAAAANATAATAAAAAAAAAAAAAAAAACGAGTAACTTTTTGGAGAAGTTAAAGGGTTTAATGCAGCTTCTAGTATAACTGCTAAATTCAAGGGATAAAAGAAAATGCTCGCGAACACCAAAATGTTGAAGCTCCTTGGCAGATTCCCATATTCACTCCTCAAGCAAAGCCCTTATCGGGCCTTGGGGGTTTCGTCGTACTCCACCCGAACCCAGCCCGGCTCGCCGGACACTCTGTATCGGCGTCTCCAGATATGCCAGGAACAAAGGGGTCCGCTTACTCCGATTCTCGACAAATGGGTCGTCGAGGGCCGGCCGGTGGATTACAGCGAGCTCAAGAGATTCATCAAAACTTGCAGAAAAATCCGCCGCTTCAAGCCCGCCCTCGAGGTAGTAAATCTCATCTCTCGCGCGGGCCTATTTGATTTCTTTGTGTGTATGTATGTGTGTTTCTTGATTAAAGTTCACATTTTTACCGGAAACAATTAGAAAAGAAAAATAATGTTCTGTATCATATCAGAAGGTGCTGATTTTTGATTTGATTGAGCTGATGATTCTAATCCTGCTTCTAATTTGTCCATTCATTCCTTCTTTTTTTTCTGCAAAACCCTAAACCTCCTACCGCCCACGACAGCTCTCCGAATGGTTGATCGAGATGAAATACTCCGATTCCAGACCAGGCCTCGCCGGGCTCCACCTAGACCTCATCTCCAAGGTCCATGGGCTGGCCCAAGCCCAACAATATTTCGACACACTCAACCCAACCCAACTCGTTCCCTCAATCCACGGCGCCCTCCTTCACTGCTACGCGGATGCCAACGACATCAGCAAAGCCGAGGCCATCTTTACCCAAATCCAAACCCTCCACTCCCCTTCAAACCTCGACTACAACTCGATGCTCAGCCTCTACTCCCGAACAGGAAACCACAAAAAGCTCGACTCGTTAGCTCGTGAAATGGAGGACAAAGGCATCGAGCTTGACGAGTTCACTTACAACATCCGTCTCAACTCTCACGCCACGAATTCCGAATTGCGAAAGATGGAAAGCTTGCTGATGAAAATGGAGCTCGACCCTCACGTGACCGTGAACTGCCACGCGTACATAACGGCCGCGAAAGGGTACATCAAGGCCGGCCTCCCGGAGAAGGCCCTGAAAGCGCTCGGGAAAGCCGAGCACTCGGTTAGAAGTAAGGAGAGGCAAACGGCTTACGGCGTGTTGATAACTGTTTACGCGGCTATGGGGGAACGGGAGCACGTTTATCGAGTGTGGGCCCGTTTGAAAAGGGACGAGCGGATAACATATTACAGAGGGTACGGGTGCATGATAGCCTCGCTGGAGAAGCTCGGGGATTTCGAGGGGTTGGGAAGAATTTTCGAGCAGTGGGTGGTGGAGAAGAAGGACGATGATGGAGAAAGGTGGTACCTTGATATGCGGGTCCCGAACGCGGTTATACGGGCTTACTGCAGGAAAGGTATGGTGAAGGAGGCTGAGGGTGTGTTGGGCCGGGCTTTGGGGGAAGGTGCGGAAGCGAGTGCGAGCACGTGGAGCCACATGGCGCACGGGTATTGGAGGAGTGGGGAGATGGAGAGGGCGGTGGAGATGACTAAACGGGCGGCCCGTTCGAGTTTTGCAGAGTGGAGGCCCGATTTCGAGACGGTTGGGGCTTGCGTGGAGTATTTGAGGGAGAAGGGGGATTTGGGTGGGGTTCGGGAGATTTTGATGCTTTTCGAGAAGTGGGGAAAGTTTTCGGAAGGTTTGAAGGAGAGGGCTGATCAGGGAGATGAGGAGATGGAAGCTGAGGAACTTGAAGCTGGAGCAAGTTGAGTTTTTTTCTTGATTACATATGGAGATTGTGGTAATAATAAAGTGTACAAAGAGAAAAATGTTGAGCATGTCCTCCTCTTCTTCTTCTTCTTCTTCCTTTGACTTGGGTCTTCTTCTTCCTTTGAATTGGTCCGTGGTTAGCTAGAACTTGGCTACAATTTAGCTTGAGCTATAAATATTTAGATAAATTAAGTTTATACTCGAGCAACTCGTTAAACACTCGAGTTTTAAACCAAAGGCTTGAGTTTGGTGTGCACCGGTCAACTCGGACTGAGTCAAATTCGAGTTTGTAGAAAAGAGTAAGCTTGGATCGTGTAGCAAGCTTGGATAGAGTACAGTGCCATGCAGCTTTGTTTTTAGGTAGCAGTTATAACTGCTCGTCTTTCCTTTGTTTTCATTAAACGTGTTTGCGTTTCTTTTCTGTGTGTTGCATTTTTAGTAAATGAGACGCGTCGTTTGGCATGGTTTATGTTAGTATGAACACGATGTCGTTTCGTCTTGACTGCATGTAAATAAAAGGCCCGAAGCCTGTACTTGCTATTCATGTTGAGCTCTAGATTTAATAGAGTTTGAAATGTTGGAGCTCGACTTCGTACTCAGCAACTTCTTTAAATAAACAATTAGCTGATTTTCGTACCATAATTGCAATTTTCACAATTAGCTGACCATCAATAATAATCTTCACAGAACAATACAAAAAGTAAAATAAATATAGCTTTGCTTCATTTTGCTTAGGTAAAGAGCGTAGTAGTACATGTAAATTCAACTACAGAACCCCATCATCATTTTCTTCTCAATTTCTATATATTGGTCATGTTTGAACTTTGAAATATCTTTCTTCTACTTCACAGGCTACGAAGAAGAATTCCCTCAAACGTAATCCCAGGCCCAAATGCCAAGCCCAGGCCCCACTCCTCACCCCCCTCTCCTTTCCCCTTCAGCTCATCCCTCATATACTCCATCACATAAAATATAGTATTACTGCTCACATTCCCGTAGTCCATCAAGGCCCGCCTGCTGCAGCTCAGCTTCTCTTTCTCCAGTCCCAGTTTACTTTCCAGCCTGTTCAGTATCGCCGGCCCACCAGGATGCACGGCCCAGAACAACTCATTATACTCTCGGCCCACTAGCCCACCTTTCTCCATCAGCTTTCTGCAAAACTCCTCAATGTTGTCCTCAATTTTCTGAGGCAAATCCCTTCCCAGCTTGAAATAAATTCCTTCCTCCGACAACCGGCCGTCGATGACGCCGCTCGTATCCGGCAAGAACTGCTGCATCGCGTGACTGAGCTCCATAAAGGGTCGCTCGTTTCCGGTCGGGTCGGACCCGATGACGACGGAGGCAGCGCCGTCTCCGAATAGGGCCGCGCCAACCAGGTCGTACGGTCGGGCCTTGTTCGGCGGACGGAATCCCAGTATGGTTGTCTCCGAGGTCGTGAGCAGCACGCGGCTTCCGGGATTGTTCTCCGCTATGTCCTTGGCCACCCTCAGCCCTGCGCCGCCGCCAGAATTATTTTTCAGATTAAATAAATACGTCCTCGCTCAGATTTCGCAATTTAATTTTTTTTTATATTGTAATTGAAAATTGAAAATGTTGAGGTGATGGGCTTGCCTGTGACGCCGCCATAGCAGCCGAGAAAGTAGAGCATGACGCGGCCGACGTCGTTGTTGAGGCCGAGCTCGTTGGCCAGGTAGAGGTCGCCGCCAGGTAAGCGGATCTCGCTGGACGAGACATAGACTATGTGGGTGATGTCGGATTTGGGCCGGGCCCAGTTGTTGAGGCAGGCCCAACTGGCTTCGGTGGCCATCTTGAGGACAGCTGGGTTGGCTATGTCGAGCCGCTGCTTGATGGTGGGCGAGCCTTCTGTGGCGAGCTCCGGGTATTGGGTGAGGATTTCTTTAGACATAACTGTGTACCTTGTTTTCACTGTTGTGGTCTTGCCTGCCAAAAACAGATAATATATAATGGAAGCAACAATTTTACGTTAGTTAATTTATGTTAGTCATCGGTTTTTAACCATTGGATCAACACACAGGTGTGTGTTGATTAAACGGTTGAGTGAAATCTTTCCTTTTGACAATCATATATATATATATATATATATATATATGCTTAAAGGACAGAAATCTTCCCTTTTGACAATCATATATACATATATGCTTAAAGGACAAAAGTCGTGTAGTGTGTTGTGTATCATGAAATTTCTCAGTGACATTTGTTGTATGTTTGAAGAAATTAATGGAAGCATATATATATATATGCTTAAAGGACAAAAGTCGTGTAGTGTGTTGTGTATCATGAAATTTCTCAGTGACATTTGTTGTATGTTTGAAGAAATTAATGGAAGCTTACACAGTCGCTCGAGTTTCTCCTTAATGGCCAAGTCATCGCATTTGGTGTCGCGAATGTAGCCCTCGACCAAGAAATCTTGAGGGACAATTTGGCTAGGGAAGGCTTTGCCAATTGCAAGAACTGTAGCTTTTCCGGGAGTTGCCATTCGACTCGGTGGTGGAAGATTTTGGTTTGCTTCACTGTTATTGGCGTTGAACTGCGACATGGCTGCCGAAAAGGAAAATGGTGAAGAAGAATCTTAAGTATAAAATTATCTGTTGTATTGTGTGTGATGATGTGATGAAGTTTAGGGTGAGTATAAATGGGTTCTTAGTATGGTGTTTGGAGAGTGGTTGGTGTTGAGAGAAACTAGCATGACAAATTAAATAAGTGACATGGTTTGTTAGATTGCTTGTTTGTTTTTTTTATTGCTCATATATTCTTTGTGCTGTTGCTACCATTGGGTTTGGATGATGTGAGAGATTTTCAGATAGATTCATTAGAAACTATCTTTGTACTTTCATTGACATGTATTATTCCTTCTTTAAGATTGCATGAGCTTGTAAACTTTTTCTCACGAGATGCCATATTTTATCTTTGATTAATGTTCACAAATGGGGTAATAAAGAATAACGATAGTTTATAGTTGAATAGCGAATTTGGCTAAATGATTATTGATTTCTAAATTCCATTTTAAATCAAACTTTGATACGTATTTGAAACACATATCCAGTCATAATCGCGGTCTACTTTAGTGTACTATTAAAAAATATAGGTGGTTTTGTCCATCAATCTATTCTTTCAACATCTTCCATGTAAGATTTAGCCCACCGAAACATATCTATCACGAGACAAATACATAAATAATCTATCAGACAATCATCACACTCATACACATCACAGTTGCGATTTATTTACATGAACCATGTCCATATCATGAACAACTTAATTTTCTTACTAAGCAATTATTATGAACGATTTTGGAAAATCGTGCATAAGACAAGCATATATAGACCCAAGGCAAAAGATTCAACACTATGACCTCAAATAAATCAAGAATATTTGACACACACACACACACACACACACACAAAAAGCTTCTCAAGCAGTTGCATAGACTCAAACCAAGTGGTGATCCCATGGCTAATTCTAAAGAATTTATTAAGATCCCAATATTTGACCTCTCTACAAAAACATTATACCCCACATCAGCTTCATGGCTCGCGGCTTGTAAGAAAGTGAGACATGCTCTTGAGGAGTTCGGGTTTTTCTTGGCACAGTTCGAGGATGTTTTGTGTGAGCTAGACAAGCAAGTGTTTTTAGTACTGAAGGAACTATTTGATCTGCCACTCGAGACCAAAACTAGAAACACTTCGGACTTAGTCTTTTATGGGTACGTGGGACAATTGCCTCATGCTCCACTCCACGAGAGCATGGGGATTCCAGAGGCAACCACCATTGATGCTGTTCAAAGCTTCACAAATCTCATGTGGCCATCATCGGGAAACAAGTCATTCTGGTATGTAGTCTAAATCCATGTCCTTATGTCAATAAAATGGGAAAAGGGAAAAGAAAAGAGAAACCGAGCAGAGGTAAAGATATACAGAGTTCTACTACTGTTCACTAGAATTAGGCTATGGTAAACCTAGCTGATAAGCTAGCTCATAGATTTTAAGTGTATTTTCGAGCTTATAGCTAATAACTTATGAGTCTTATGACTTATGGCTGACAAACTAGCTTATATGATAAAAGTGTTTAGTAAAATTAGCTGAAAAGTTAGTTGAAATTAAAAACTCAATTGGTTTATTTGAAAAGCTACCTAAGGAAGATAAGCTCAAGCTTTTTAAAAAACGCGTCCTACCAAACCAAGCTTATTTAAATACTTGAAGCTTATAAGCTAACTATAAGCTAGCTTATATGCTTACCAAACACACCCTTGGTTTGAATCTTTATCTATGTATTTACTTTGTATTTTCTAAATATTTTTTATTTCAAAGTTTCTTTGTAGGATCAGTCAGGATGTTCCACAGGAGTTTACCTAGCCTATTTTCACATATCTTACCATGTGTTTCCTAATTGAGTAAAAGCTAAAGTTCAGTTTTACTCAGAGAAAAAAAAAATAAAAATAAAATGAAACATACAAGTGTTTGAGTCGACCAGTCAACGATTGGTCTGTCTTTCAGCCCAAATAAACATTGTGCAACATGACAAGAAATCAAACTGAAATAAATAACCACCATGAACTAAAGTTCACTTTTATTATGATTTTGAAAAAGGTTTCAATCTCTAGCTCATCTCCACATTTTGCAGTGAAATCATACATTCCTATGCAAAGCTAGTTTCAGAGCTGGAAAAAAAAGTGGACCTAATGGTTTTCGAAAGCTATGGGGCACAGAGACACTATGACAATCATATTGGATCAACAACGTACCTCTTAAGAACCATAAAGTATTTGCCTCCGAACGCTAACAATGAGGGCAATAACGTGGGGACCAATGTCCACACGGACAAGAGCTTCTTGTCCATACTTCACCAGAATCAGGTGAACGGCTTGCAGGTGCAGCTGAGGAATGGGGAATGGTTCTCCGTGGATGTCCCACCTGGAGCATTTGTGGTCATGGCTGGTGATGCTTATGAAGTACACTCCCTGTCCTCTAAGAGCATTTATTTCACATTAGTAATGTTATGTTTGGTAAACCTAGCTGATAAACTAGTTTATAGCTTTTAAGTGAATTTCGAGCTTATAGCTGATAGCTTATGACTTATGGCTGAAAAACTAGCTTATATGATAAAAGTGTTTGGTAAATTAACTGAAATAAAAATTTCAATGGGCTTATTTGAAAAGCTACCCAAAGAAGCTTATGAGATAAGCTCGAGCTTTTAAAAAAGCTTGTCCAACCAAACGAAACTTATTTGAGCATAGGAAACTTATAAGCTAATCAAATAAGCTATAAGCTAGCTTATATGCGTACCAAACACAACCTAAAATTCTATAATACCTCGACTGGTATCACTGTGGTTTTATAGGTTCATCTTGCTAGGATACTGAAAGTTAAATAGACAATACATTTTATATGCAGAGTATTTCCAATATCCTGTAATCAGTTACGCATTAACTTCCCCTCGGTTTTATTTGTTTGAAATATTATGATCGAAGGCATGGAGCAATGGGAGGATATTTGCAGCCAAGCATCAAGTGTTAATGAAAGGGGACCAGACCAGGTATTGTCTGGCACTATTTTCTTTCAACCATGGCACTACCTATATACCTGAAGAGCTGGTGGATTCTGATCATCCTCTGCAGTATAAGGCGTTTGATAATTTCGGGATGGCCCGTTTCTATCTCAGTGGTGCAACTCAGATGACTGAGAGCACTGCCAAGGCCTACTGTGGTGTTCATGTCTGAAAGCTGTTGGGTGCTTCTTGTGTGTGTGTGTGTGTGTGCGTGCTAAGCTTATGACTTAGAAGATGTTTTCCTACAATTATTCTGAACATCTTATGTAAGTACTTCACACTATGCTCCAAAAGTACTTTACATGATGTTTTAAACAACTCAAACATGGGAGTAATTATCATATGGCATTGAACTATGAATTAAGCGGAGCAAGAGAAGAATGCAGAATGAAAATTGCAAGAGCTACTTTTGGGGTTTAGCTTAACAATTGAAAAAGGAAAGAGAAAAGAGAAACTAGCCATCTTTTGAAACTACAAATTTCTCATTTGGCATTTACAAAACTTTCAGCAATTATATGTTGCAAGTTTATCCGTCAACTGTGTAAAATTTTCAAAAGAAAGAGTTCTAGTTGATTTTGGAAAATTAATGGAACTTTGTTGTAATTATGCTTAAATGTAGTGAATAGTAGTGTTTGCAATTGTCACAGACTATTATACAATTAAAAAAAGCATTAGCATTCTCAGCCAAGCACAAACAGGCTCCTAATCTCCCACAGGGCTCTGTGTGTGTGTGTGTGAGTCACTTGATGTCTCATGTACAATTAATTAACCACAAGTGGCAACTGCTATACAAAATTCTTGACATCACTAATAAAAAAAAGTATCTGTCAACATATGCCTCTATAACTTCTATTATAATAATTTGTGTTCAATCATGACATCAAATCTGATATTGAGCCCATGTATAATCAATTAGTCGTTAATCACAAAGTAATTAACTGCCATCTTTTCAAGATATACACATGTATACTAGTACATACACATTAAAGACCAATACAAATATTTATATCAATCACAACAAAAGAGCCTAATATAATCACTAGCACCAGCTATCAGGTAATCAGCATTTAACAAATGCCAACTTAGTAAGAGGTGCCTAGAAGAAATAGTACATGCAAACATAGAAATCGGTACCAGAGTACATGTCAACTTTAGTCAAATGTGCCGTAGACTAGTGCAGTAAGGCTGGATGCTTCAAGCCGCACGTCGGTAATAATAACTGCATAAAAAAGGAATTAGCTTAGTATCCGTTTATCAGGATTTCACGTACACACATGTTGATATTATCCGACCGACACAATTGCAGAACATGTGGATTATTTAGTTGACAAAAGAAACGTACACATAGAAATTTATGCCGTACAAAGCAGCATATTTTCGCAGCAGGCGCTCGACAGTGTACCATTCTGAACGATCTGAAGTGCCTTGATAATTAATCCGTGGCATGTGGATTGAAGCTGTCAAAATTTATCATAATTACAATTTAAAAAATAAAAAAAAAACACAGTAAAAGTTCCTGGTGAGAAGTTGAAACGAAGCTTTTAGTCTATGAAAAGAGATAAACTTTACCTGAATGTTGAGAAGCTGAAAACGATGCTTTTGCAAGACAAACTTCCAAATCATCGATAGAGATGCCACTGCGGGGGACTTTACGCCTAGGATTATATGACTGCACAACGGCTAAAGATACCCATTGAGGAGCATTGGTCTGAGTACTCACATGATCGTTGTCCTCTGTAGAAAATTGGTAGCAGTAAAGAAAAACCAGGCGAAGTAAAAGGAAAATGGTAATGAAGTCAAAGCATAAAGTAGAAAATTAGTTAAAAAAAAATATCAAAATAAATAAGTTTGTAAATATATACTTAAAGTTCGGAATGTGTGATCACAATATTTAATAATGAAAAAGTAGAAAAAAAAAAAGAAAGAAAATAAACTGATAAGACTTGAATAGATGGCTGAAACTAACCATTTATTTGTACGAGATGTAGGTCACCCAGATGGAGATCCCCAAATTCTGAAGCTTGCTCATATGCATTTGGAACTGCAGGTGACAGCCTGGCCAGAGCATCAAACAGGCCTCCATGACCCCAGTTTCCAGAATTATCAACACAGCTGCTTAGAAAATTTCAACATGTCAAATTTTATTAAGCATAACAACTGGAAGCCTGAAACAGAGAGAACAGCCATCACCCAGTATGAGAGGCCCACTGTAAATTATTAAAAGATTGTATTCCTTTCAACATAAAGGCCTCAGACTCCTTCACTTTTAATGAATGTTGACAAATCACATTACTAAGAATTAATACACAGATAGCCATACACCCTCTTCATCGATACTTGATTCTTCTCCCAAATATAAAATTTACGGAAATGCTTTTGGGCAACTAAAGTGAACCTGAATATAATAGCAGGTTCTGATGGACAAACAGTGGCAGTATCCGTGCAGTCCCCATAAACAAAATGAACTGAGCCAGAATTTGACATCACATCGCGCTCCGTGGGCCCTTCAGGAATGCTGACAGACAACGAATGATATCCTTGAGCTTCCCATTTAGATAACTTTTTCTCCTCAGCCTTCTTGCGGGAAGCTTCGGATTTAACGTTCTTCTCATCGGGCAATCGTCTCATATTTCCTGATTCCAGTATTTCAACCCCATCACCAGGTGTCGCTTGCTTGAACTTTTCCACCCACGACATATATGAAGCCTCATTGAGGGTGGTACTAAAGTCGATAGGTTGAATATCCTCATTCATGACTATATCTTTACCATCCGACTGTAAATCTTGGCGGGAGGCAATAACCTTTTCAGCCAAAGCACTCATTTCCCCTGAATTTAATTGATCGTCTGATTTTGCAGTATTCATTTCCATAGGATCAAAAACATGCAGACCAAACACGATAGATTTCAGATCACCAGCTTCAGCTCCTCCATTATTATTTATTTCATCATCCGCGTTGTTGTCGCCTATGACATTATGACTCAGCTGTAACTTCCTTTGTGCTCTACGCATGATAACCTAGATCAAGCTTTCGTCAACTAAGCTTTGGGAAAACTAAGGGATCATAAAAAAGGTTTATCTAATCTTATTACCTCCTCGATCGTACGCCCAGTGACTAAATTAATGGACAGCACATGATTGCTTTGTCCGATTCTGTGTGAACGCTGCAGGGCCTGCTTATCCACTTGGGGATTCCAATCTTGCTCGTAAAATATGACCTACAAAGTGTTAAATGCTTAGTCTTTTCAATAACACTACAAATATAGCCCAGGAAAATGAAAAACATACTTTGAACTTTTAAGTATAATATATCTCCAAGGCTTAAGTAATTTCATGGTTAGTTTCAATATCAGTATACCATTTTGCATCTCCTAGAAATCAACGGCCCATGAATGTCCAGGCATTACAAATAAGACACATTCGAGCAAGAAATATCGAAAAAAGCTTTAATAAAAATGATTGAAAAATATTACTGTATCAGCAGCCACAAGATTTAAGCCCACTCCCCCAGCTCGTGTAGAGATCAAAAAGACAAATGGTTTAATCTGTTCGGTATCATCAGCAGCAGCAGTTTTTATTGCAGATTTTTGACTAAAACTTCTGATTGCAGCAAATCTCTCCTCCGCTCGAATTGAACCATCAAGACGCTCATAAGTGAGTTTCCTCATTTCTAAAAAGTCCTGCATGATATACACTCACAAAATGTCCATAGAGTATCGAGGTTTACAATAAATACAAAGAAGTAAGAACTGACCTGTAATATATCGAGTGTATGAGTCATCTGAGCAAACAGGAGAACTCGATTCCCAGAGTCGTGTAGCTTCTGAAGTAGCTGATCCAAAATTAGAAGCTTACCACTAGCCTGATGAAATATAAAATGAGGATTAAACATCTTCATAATCATCACACGTTACCACCAAAATGGTGGAAGAAGAATATAGAGTGAGAAAAATGTCGGAGACAGACAAAGATGTGCCTTCATTTCAAATGAATGATTAAATGCATTATTCCATTATCTTGGTAATGTTTAGCATCAGGCAACTGTAAATGGTTGGATTCATTTTCAGTCCTCACTCCTCAGACATAAGATACATCTCTTTTAACCAAAATACTACTGAAGTAGTAGTCTAACTACCTGAACCAGATGCTCGCCTTCCTGATACGGTTCGGGCTCAATACCTGGGAAAAGGTACGGGTGACTACATGCTTTCCGAAGCTGAATTACCTGCAAGAGAATTAGAATATACCAGCATCTGAATTTTCACCATGAAAGCCATCTGATAGCAACAAGTACAATAAAGCAATGAAACATACCAAACAGGAATAAGCTAATGCAGAAATATATAACTGCTTACAATATTTTGCAACGATTGCGCATTAGAAGCTCCCGAAGCAAGTGCAACCAGCTTGGGGAGTTCCTTCCTCAGTATAGACACATAAACCTTCTTCTGTAGAGGAGTCAAAGGAGTCATTCTGTCGAAAAAGAATGACGCTTAGCCAAAATTCACTCGAAGTCGAAATGCAGCTTTAATACGTAAAAATATCACCAAGCTCAGTCAACTCGGAACCCAGTTAAACCAATAAAAAGAATAAAAGAGATAAAGAGATATGCAAGAAGCTGACACAGTAATTTCAGTAACAGGGGGCAGCAGCAGAGTTCCAGACTCCATAAGTTTAGACTTGGTCCTCCGAAGCATAAATGCTCCAAGCAAGTATTTTAAGATCTTAAATTGTTCTCTCTTTTTTGCTGCATCTTGACCTGCTTCATGAAGTATTACATTAATATGCAACTATATTTAACCCATTATCTTTGAAGACCATGGCATTTGTACATCAACTTTGTCAGATATTTGAGTCACAACAAGAGACCTATGGCATTCTGAGACATATAAAAGTATGCAGATGATAACTTTACATGAAGGATCTCCAGCTTCCTTGAAGTAAGATAAAAACTGCTCCAGCTTTCCAAAGATCATAGGCATACAAAAGTGCATCAAAGCCCAAAGCTCGGCGAGATTGTTCTGAATGGGTGTTCCAGTCATTAGCAATTTTCGTGGCATGATAAACCGGTCTCTTAAAACTGCATAGAGAACCTGTTGGAATTTCGCCAAGGAGAAGCCTGTGATAGCAGCTTAAGGATAAAAAAATAAAACAAAGGAGAATGCATGAATCAGGCCCAACTGATCAAACTATCTTATGTTTAGTAGACATACACTGGAAGGACTCTTGAGTCTCTGTGCCTCGTCAATTATTGTGTAATGCCATTGGAATTGCGAGAGGAAGTCCTGATCAATTAATGCTATGTCATAAGTTGTCAAAAGCACATCGAATGGCAATGCTGGGACCTGTGAAAAACAAGAAAACAGAATGTGAAGAATAAAATTGACAACATTTTACCTTCAAATTTGGGCGTATATATTTCTATTACACTAGAAAGGATGTACTCACATGCATCTTGTTGACATATTCATGCATTTCGCAACGCAGTTTACGTCTATGTTCTTTATCTCCAACATAACGAATCAGTCTCAGTTTTGGAGCAAAGATGGCCACTTCAGACACCCAACCATCAGTCACGCTAAGAGGGCACAACACCACTGCACGTAGCATCCAAAATCTTACAGTGGCCGTTTTAAATATGTAATTGATGAAATAGGAAATCCCATAATAAAAATATCTAATAAAGGTAAAATTATATACTCAATTACTCACAGAATGGACCAGGGGACTTCTGACATATTTTGAGATAACTCAAAAAAGAGATAGCCTGCAGAGTCTTCCCCAGTCCCATCTATAGGAAAATCATTTGCAAAAGAGAAACCATTAAGGCGTAAAGCAACCAAAAATTGCACTGATTTTCTTAAACCCTTAAATTAGGCCCTTTATCCCAATTTACTGAACATAAAGACAACTGAAGCATTCAAGTCATCGATATTTCTCCTAAAGGTCTAATATAGTACCACTGTAATGCCACAAAAGATGTAATTCTACTGAGTTCAAAATGCATAGATAGAAAGATCTAGCCAAACTTGAGTACTGCACCACACCACATAAACTGTCTGGACTCTTGAAACATCATATAAACAACATAAGTTCAAAGGCCATCACTCTTGTCAACATTACAAGCACTTCCAAACATGAAAATGTAACTATATTTATATAAATTTGACATATCACACTGAAACATAGCATCTAATCAGATCCAATAAACTAATTCAGGGGACCTTACAGCTTCTCCGTCTCTAAATTGAAGCTACAAATTCCATTGGAGTTTATGTCAATCCAGTATTATGCTAATGCTCCTCAAATATCAACTACAACAGCTCCCACAATTTAGTCTTAACAATGACTGCTATAACCATCATATACATAGTGGCCAGGCTATTTAACACTCATATACCACAGCTATGACTCGATTCCCGCCAACTGTCACCTTCCACTGCCAGTACAATATACTTTGAAAGAAAGAGTAAAGAACTCACCTCATCGCCTGCAAGAGAAATTAATAACAATAATAAGAACACAGCCGAGAGAAAATCAGATAAAAACCTAGGTAGCAACGCTCTGAACAACATTAGCTGCACATGAATTCTTTAACTACCGAGTATGACGTTGACTCCGAGATGGTACCGCCGGATGAGCCACGAAACACCTTCGACTTGATGGGGCTTGAGCTCCGCCGTTATCTCGATCTCGGAGGTGTCGAAACGTGCTCCCTCGGCGGCGCGTGAGTCCCCTTCATGGACGCACCTCGCTGCCACGATTAGTCTCTGCTTGTAGTCCATGTTTTCGCCAGCGCCAGCGGTGGTTTGGAGTTTGTGCCTGTGGAGTTGCAGTTCGGTGGAGGCTCTTTTAAAATTCGGGGGAAATGACTCTAATACCCTAGTTTATAGCGTGACAATGCACATGTTCTTTCAGCGAGAAGCATTTGCGCGACGTGTGTCGTGCTCCTAAATTGTTGTTTTTTAAATAACAAATTGTATAACTCTTGCTTAATTTCAAATCCACGTCCGTCGTTCCACCGCCGTCACCACCGCCGCAATGGCCGGCACGGGTTTCTCATCGTCCAGCGCATTCTCGTCTCCCCCCTTTATTCTCACTCGGTCTCTCCAACCCTAGCTCCGCATCATCCGCGCCTACTTTTGGCTTCGGCTCCGCGACTTCGGTCCCCCCACACCTCTCCATTTTTGGCGGCTCCTCCCTCTTAAGTGCGTCCTCTTCCGCCGCCGCCGCTCCTTTTGGCGCCCCGTCCATATTCGGGTCGTCATCAGCCACGGGCGCCGCCACCTCCCTGAGCCTATTCGGATCTGCTTCGGCTGCGGCCCCACTCCAATCCTGTTTGGATCTTCACCACCCGCTGCGCACGCCTCTATCTCCGGTTCTGGGTCGGGTCCAGCCCCTGCTCCAAGCTTATTTAGCTCGTCTTCTAGTGGAGCTCTCGCACCTAGCCTTTTTGGTTCATCTTCTTCAGGCGCAGGCGAGACGGCCAGCCTCTTTGGCAACAATTCAGCTGCCGAAGGTACACATTATTCCTTCCCGAAGAAATAGTTGACTTGCTACAACACATGGAAAACTTTAATGCTTTTCGATCCATCATTTTTTGAGATTTGATGATTTGAATATATCTAATTCTCAAATATCTATATGCTTTCAAGTTTAAATAAAAATATTGTACTAAAATAATGTGGCGTTTAGTTACTAGTTACTGCCTATTAATACACTCATGTTTTATATCCTTCGGTTACATTATCTGTTGGTTCACATACATAGTATGCTTTTTGCGGACCGAAGTTGCGAAAGTGCTTGTTGAGGAGCAACTAGAGCTAATTGAAACTCATTGAGATGAGGTATCTCGCTATTGTCATTATTGATATCATGTTTCATTTTCTTGCTTATATGTGTTTGGAACAACTAAACGACATTTGAGCCCTTAGTGTGTACTTCACATCATGTTTGGAAACTCTTTGCAATGGCCAACAGTTCATAAGTTCTTCAGTGTGCCTGTTGTAATATCCTGAGTGAGCTCAATTTACAGTTTTTGTTGTGTTTCGTGTGTACAGAGACGAGCGTGCATTGCTTCTTGACGATGATTTTGCATCAGCAAGGGATGCTATGTAAGTACAGGCCACATATTATTATGCACACACATAAATTATATGTATCCCTTGCCTTTTTGGTTTGTAAGATTTCTCATCACATCATATGCTTAACTTTTCCAATTTAAGCATGGTAGGTAATGCGGTGGGCATGTTGGTTTTGATGTAAATAGTGTTTAAGTATCATATCCCCCCTACAATTTTTAGGAACTTGTGACAATATCCCGGGGTCTAGCTGTGAGAATGATCATAAATTTCTTTACATGCAATTGGAATTGTTGGATTTGTTAATATTCTGTGTACTTATCGTGTTACCTATAGATGGATTTGTTCAATGGTGTAAACTTGTTGCTCTATTTAGTTTTCTTTATCGTTTCTGAATTCAGGTATGAGAGCTCGAAGCAACTGACAGGAATGACTCACTTGATGCTGTTGTCCGAATATTGAACAGTCAATTGAGTTAAACTGATGTTGATTGATGAGAAGGTTACATCTCAGAACTTATAAATTGCTTCTTCACTTGCTTTGGATTATTTCACTCTCTCAGCTTAAATGCATCTATTGAGTCGAGAAAGTTATAGATTGGGTCACAATAATGGATAAATGCGCGTAAATCTTACAGACAGGGAATGCTAATCTATCTCTCCCGAACTACATTTTTGTTCTCTCGCTTCAAAATTTTGGTGCCTTATGTTCATCCAAATTTGCTGAAAATGTGTCGAACCACGCGTACTTGTGTATGTTGGATTAGGATATTGCTAACTTGTGCTTTGTTTAGGCTAAGGAATTTTCGTTATTCAAAAGCTCACAAACCAGGGATCTGCTGCACAAAAGTTAAGCGGTGGGCCCCAAGCTCTGGCTGAATTTAGAATGCGGAGCTTTGTAAAATTGCGGGACCATAATATGATTGGGAGATACATTGTTTAGTTATAGGTTGAAAAGCATATAATAATGTTGTGTATTTCTGCGGTTCTCTGGGGTTTGGGTATCTATTTGAGATACTTCAGAGGGGAAAATTGATTAAATTTTGGATCTTTTTTTCTCCTTGAGTTGGACTTTTGGGAGCAAGTAGAGATAAAGTTGTTCTTCAGATCTCTGCTTATTTGGAGGTATTAGTAACAGGTTACTATGTCTTTCAGGTGATGTGGTAGAGAATTAATATACTGTATAATGTGGCTATGATTGTTAAGTCTTTGAGATCTTGACATGTAAATGGAGGGTATGAGTGTATTTTACGAATTTAGATATATGCACGTGTGATATTTAAATTGCTCAATTTCTTGTTTCTTTTTAAACTCGTTGTTTCAGTGTGATACTAGTACGTAACCCGTGCGATGCACGGGATGTAAAATTTAGAAGAATAATATAAACTCATGTGCATTAGGATCGAAATTGAAATCATTAAAATACATAGGAACATTGTTGAATCATAAAAAGTTCGGTAACAATCATATATTATTAAAAACCTCCTTGTACACAACATTATGAGTTTGATTATTTGGTAACTCCTCATTATCACAAACTAATATTTTCAGAAGAGACAAATCCTAAAAATCAAACTAATATTTTTGGTGAACAAACTAATATTTTAGGATTGGTGAACAAACTAATATATTAGGATTTCTGGAATTTGTCTCTTTTTGGTGAACAAACTAATATTTTAGGATTGGTTATATGAATAAGGCTACCTGTTTTTGGTGTTCTTTTTATTTGTTTTCATTCAAACAATCCGATGACTTGTATAATGAAATCCGAATCTTAAGCCGAAATATTTAAAAAAAAAGAGTTTTTAAAAATTGAAAAGTCAAGGCAATCAGTTCAGATTAGTTAATGGTCAAAGAATATTCACTCCTTGAAATAAAGACGTGTGCTATCATTAACCAAATATCCGGTTGTTGATATAGAGTGGTTACCAAAAAATAGAATGCGATAAGGACGCTGTTGATACCAAATTTTGGCCTAGCCTATTATAATATTACACGTGGATATGTATTATATCAATTATTTTATTTTTTGGGCCTTAAATAATACCGCTTGTGATAATATCGGGCCCATTAAACATATATATATATATATATATATATCCCCAATGATGGACCTGGATAGATAAGTCTGAGGGGCGCTATTATTATTTTTCCTATCTTATCTCTAAGGGGGGAGGCACCGCCTAAAATTTCCTCTAGGCTTCCTAATTCTGTATGTTTCTTCAACAGTAATACAGAAGGAAAAATACAGTAATTCTTGGAAAATTCATACAAAAATCACAGCCAAATTCAATATATACAAACAATTCTGAACCTCCCATGTTGATCAATTTTCGAGCATCAACAGACGCTTCATGGAAATATCAATGGGATAAGGTCATAACAGATCGCTATACATTTTAACGATAAAAGCTCAGATGGAATGATTTATGATAATTATGTCGTAATTGATGAATTAATTAGATGTGTGAAAATGACATAATTAATGAGAAGTGTGAAAAAGACATAATTAATGAGAAGTGTGAAAAAGACATAATTAATGAGAAGTGTGAAAAAGACATAATTAATGAGAAGTGTGAAAAGGACAAAAACTTACCGGTTTTAGAAAATATTTAATGCAAATCAGACATTGACCATAATTTGACCTACTATTTTGGATAAATGTTAATTCTTATTATATAAGTATAGATTATGTAAATACCTGCCATTACAATTAATCACTATAGGGGGTGAAGAAAAAACTAGTAATACATAGAATAATATAAATTCAAGATTCATATTATATCATATTTAAAAATAATATAAATAAAAATATGATATTTCTTAATAATATAGTTATACATTTCTATTGGAAATTAGATATTGCAATTAACTTAAGAAAATCAAAATTCAAAATTGAAATATACCTAGTAGACTTATTTAACCAAAATAATCAATGTTACTGTTGTAAGAATATTTGATATTCTTCGATTAATGTGGACTATATAATTAGTTGGACCCAATTGAATTAATAGTCAAACTTAATTAAGGTGAATATGTATTAAATGAATTATTACTATTCTAATATTAAAGAGTTAATGTTTGACCTAGACAATAAGTTAGGGTAGAACATGAAGAATGTTAGAAGGATTAGGATCATATGTCTCCTCCTATATATACTACTACAAGCCATTCTATCTCTCTCGGCTCCTACAAGTTCTCAACATCGAGACGCGGAAGAGAGAAACAAATACAAATCATTGGACTCTTGTAAGTTTTATGTGCAAATTAATAAGTTTAGGATTTATTCAATTCCATTAATAGTTATGAATATGTATGTTAAATTTCCTATAACTACCCTACCTAGTTAGCAGCTGCCTAACAACACATCGGCAAAGAAGTGCAAATTGTGTGATTAGTGATTACTGATTGCCTTTTAAATAAATAAAAGAAAATAATTAAAATAAAATAATGGAAAAGGTATAAAAGGAGAGAAAATATAATAGGAAAAAAATAAAATAAAAACCACTGAGCCATCCCTGTAAATTCGCACCATTTTTCCTGTACGACCTTCACATCTCTAAAATGTCATTGATACACACCATTTTTGTTTATATATATATGGCAGAAATATATGATCTTATTGAGAGTACCTTTTGAAGTTTTCACGCTGACGATGTTTTTTTTTTTTGTTTTTAACGTGAATATTTGAATGTGTGTTATGTATAGGTGAATCGGTGATAGTTTGAGATGGCGGAGGGGACTTACGTTAAGCTGACCAAAAAACAGAAGCCTTTGCAGAACATCACCCCCGGCGAGTTAAATCAGCCGATCAATGTTGAAGAGGTACCCATTGATTTCCATTTTCCTTGATTTAATCGGTAAATAAATACAGGACACTTTTCACGTTTTTATTTTTTATTTTTTGTTATTTTGGATTTCGACGCTTGAATTTTATCGTTTTGACGATTGATTTTGTACTTAGTCATTCCTCTCTGAGTGTTGCCATTGTTCACGAGTCTCTGGTTTGTGTTTGAGCAAGAGAGTTGGATCATTGGTATCTTAATTTTGGTGATTAGAAATGGAAAAAAGTATAATGTGTGCCCAAATTAAGGTTCATTTTGATTCTATATGGTTATAACTCAATCAATGATCACTTGATTTGAAAATCTGTGTCATTAGAATTGTGGATGGTTGAGTTTTTGTTCATTTAGAGGAGAGACCAGTGAGAGTTATAATCTAAATGGTTTGAGATGCAATTGATATTTTTTTGGATCATGGAGGTTCGCCTGTATTATACGAAGGATTTATGCACTGGTGATCGTTTTTTTACACTCTGATCAGAAGGTCCTATGCAGGTCGTCAATACTACTTGTGTATAGCTGCCTGGTGTAGTGTGCAAAGTATTAGTGGGATTATTGTTTATTGTCCATATTATCTGATATAATATGTAGGTCTGAAATATAGGTCGTCAAATTTCATATTAATTGTTCTGATGTTAAAAAGAAAGTGGAGCTTTCTATGTTTTTTTTATATATTTCGAAACTATATATTTTAGGATGTTACATTATGGGTTTTCTTAACAGTTAAATGCTCCTAAATGCGAACAATGTGGACAAACTTTACCACCAACCTACTCACCCCCAGCTGATGAGGACTGGATGACAGGCATTTTCGGATGTACTGAAGATCATGAAAGTTGTGAGTCCTCATTTCCTTGTTTGTGTTCCTCTAAGAAAATCCTGACAAAAGTTTCATACTCCATGAAAATTCTGATATCGTGATATGTGTTTTTACCAATTTGTTACGGGCATATTACTGAACAGAAGTGTCTGAGGGAGTAACTGGCTATACTTCTCTTTTTCATTCTCTTGCTGCTAAAGAATAGTGGATCAATTCAAGTTTTGTATGAAAATGAATTTTAAGTGCAATGGGGCATGGAAAGAAAATATGCTGATTAGAAATGATAAATACAAGAAAATGATCGAGTATGATTACTAGTGAGATAATAGTGTGCAGTTTTGGAAAACTGGATAACTCTTGCATCCGGGGACAAAATAATTTCCTACCTTAATAAAAAGTATCAAACAACATTCAATCAAACTACATCTTTCAGGTATCATATATTTCATCTCTTTGAGGAACATGAGTTGAATATTAACGAGACTATCTTGTCAAAATTCCAGGTCTGACTGGTCTATTCTGTCCTTGTGTGCTATTCGGGCGTAATGTGGAAACCTTTAACGAGAACATAACTCAACAAAGTGCGTGCATTGGTCACGCAATATGTGTGGAGGGAGGTATTGCCCTTGCTGTCGTTACAGCCACATGCCATGGGATAGATCCTGACACAGCTTGCCTTCTTACCGAAGGCTTGCTGTTTGCTTGGTGGGTTTGCGGCATCTACACAGGAATGGGTCGGCAACTGTTGCAAAGGAAATATCATCTCAAGGTGATTTTCATTTTTCTTGAACTTCTTCTTTGTCTATATAATATATGTTATTTTCATAAACTAATCATTTTTTTTTTTTTCTGGTGAGTGTTCCGAATGAACCTCAATGTTAGTATTGAGAATACGTGAATGTTACACAGAAATATATAATATTTCTTGCTGCAAGATTCTTCAATATTACATCATCAATAAATTGATGAATTCGTTTTAAGTGGTTAGAAAAATCGAGAACAAATTTGTCACTTCATTATCTCTGCTTTCACATTAGTCTATTGTCCGTATTTCATTACTTGGAAAAAAAAAAAAACTGTGTGTGTTGGATTTGCAGAACTCGCCTTGTGATCCATGCATGGTGCATTGCTGCCTCCATTGGTGCGCAATCTGCCAAGAGCACAGAGAGATGAAACATCATCTTACGGATAATATCTCACCTGATGCCACTGTCATAGAACCTCCGGCAGTGCAAGAAATGAGTGCAGCCGAGCAACACACGAAGCCCGAGTCATCTTCTTCTTCACACGAGGATAACCATAACAATCTTCAACTACAAACTGTGACTCTTTAAATTTCCATTTTCCATTCAAGAGAAACCATTGTTTTTCTTTTCTTTCTTTCTTTTTTTTTTTTTTTTTCNTGAAGTATTGTTTGATACTTTTGGACACTGTAAACTACAGTTCATCTCAAGAACAGTAGGCCGATCTTTTCATTGTTTCCTTTCCAAATACATTTTCCAATTGAGCACAATTGTTTTAATTGATGCGATAGTTTCTTAATTGATCAATTTGTAGACTTACTGTTTGAACAATCTTTTTGTGTTTAGTTTCATTGCAATATCTTGATGTATTCATTCATAAATCAAACAATGTGCATCATACTTACCATTGCGATTGTCAAAGCACATGAAACTTCAAACTTTATACAGATTGAAAATGAAATAAAGTAAAAACAAAATAAGATGACATTGAACAAAACAACTAAACAAGTAGCAGGACCGTATCACTCTGGAATGGCCAATTCTATTCACACCTCTCAGTGTCTCATACAATCATTTATGTACATATATATACCTTTGAACACTATGAATAATAGTGTCCCTGCCAATGCCGAACAGTTCAAAGATGAACTGTTTGTTCAGCCTAGATAGATTCATTATTAACTAAATGTAGGGTGTGTTACCAATCCCACATGGAAAAAAGTTCCAAGTCCAATATATAAGCTTGGTGGGCTACTTCTTCTATAACTCATTGGTTTTAGAATGAAATCCTATTTGGGCTTGATGGAGAACTGAGATTGTGTTGTTGGTCCTAACACTAAATGAGTTGATAAATCGAGATTGAGTAATTCTACATTTTTTTCTTGGTTTTAGGTTTTATTCTTATCCGTATTAAACCGAGCTCGGCTCGTTAGCTAAACAGCTAAACAACCAAATAAACAAAGTAGAGTAATTCGAACTTTTTTCCTGGGTTTTATTGTTATTTCCTGTTTTACCAAAGGAAATCTTGAAAAACCCAGGGTTAGAGTTATTCTACCTTTTTTTGGGTTTTATTGTAACTTATATATATTTCCTGTTTCACTAAAGGAAAAAAATCTTGAAAAACCCTGGTAAAACCCACTCACACAAAGTCTTCACCTTTTTCCATTTCCATTCCCTCGATTAGCTGCTACTTTCCGCTGAGCAGGGTTTAACCCTCGAGCAAAAATGGCATCACGTTCGGCCCGATCCTCTCCGACGCGCCTTCTCTACTCCCTCTGCACCACATCCGCCAGCCCCGCGCCGTCGCGGGCATTCACGGCAGCTCTGCTGACCGGAAATTTCCACATCCGTAGTTTCTCTGCCGGGAGCGCCGCCGCCGCGCGGCTGAGGGATGAGAAGGAGGCCTGGTGGAAAGAGTCCCTGCAGAAGCTTCGCAACATCGGGATTTCAGCTCACATAGATTCCGGCAAAACGACGCTCACGGAGCGGGTGCTGTACTACACGGGTCGGATCCACGAGATTCACGAGGTGAGAGGTAAAGATGGAGTTGGGGCGAAGATGGATTCCATGGATTTGGAGAGAGAGAAAGGGATTACCATACAGTCTGCTGCGACATACTGTAACTGGAAGGACTATCAGGTTTTACTCCTTTCCACCTTCAGTTTACTTACAACCCGCTCAAGTTTCTCGAGCGAAAATTGTCATCTTTTTTCTGTTTTCTAGACTCAGTATTTCGATGTTTTCGCTTTGGTACGTGGTTTCATTAGATATCGATAGTCAAGTGATGTTTGATCTGAATTACGTGTGAATTATGCCAAGAATGTCGATTTATTTCACATCTATATTATGCTATGGTTAATTCGGACCAGTTTAGATAGGCTACAATTGATGTAACTTGTTTGCCCATCTATGATTTTACTTCTAAAACCCTGATTTAAGCATTGAATTCGGACATGGATTAGCCAAGCAATTTAGTTTCTTTTTGGTTGAAGAAGTCCTGAAGCGATTATCCTTTCTCTGCTTTTAAATTGGTTATGAGAAAGTGATCAAGAAATTATGTTGGCAATGTAATGGAAAACAATGGTGTATCTGTCGGTTTTTACTGTATTACTGCAATTTCAGGTTAATATAATCGACACACCAGGCCACGTCGATTTTACTATTGAAGTGGAGAGAGCTTTGCGTGTACTTGATGGTGCCATTCTTGTCCTGTGTAGTGTTGGTGGTGTACAGAGTCAATCAATCACTGTTGACAGGCAAATGAGAAGATATGAGGTCCCAAGACTTGCTTTTATAAATAAGCTGGATAGAATGGGGGCCGATCCATGGAGAGTTCTAAATCAGGTTAGGCAATCTTTTTTGTGAATGTACCATAGTCAAAACACTCGGAAGATCGACATTGTGCATGTGTGTGCGTGCGCACGTCTTTTAAAAGAAGGATCGCTATTTATAGTAATAGAAGATAGATACATAATATAATAAGGTGAGCCATTGTTCACAATGGAATGTGAATTATATGATGTTGTTACTCATGACGAGTTTAGCACTCATCTTAGGCTTCATGTTTCCCATATTGCATTCTCGAAATATACTGAGCAGACATATATAGAGCATAGCGATTGCTTCTTGAAATCATTAATACCCCTGAGCTTGCATGTTTTCTTTTTCTTTCTACAGGCGAGAGCTAAACTTCGACACCACAGTGCTGCCGTGCAGATTCCAATTGGTTTGGAAGATGACTTCAAAGGTCTCATTGACCTGGTCAACATGAAAGCTAATTATTTTCATGGTTCCAGTGGGTATGTAAACTAGCCCGTGGCTGATGCTTAGAGTTCTTGCCTATTTTGCTTCTTTTTTTTTCATCAAAATTTTATTTCTTTTCTTGCCAGTGAGAATGTTGTGATTGAAGATATTCCTGCTAATTTTGAAGAATTAGCTCAAGAAAAGAGACGTGAACTAATTGAAGCTGTCTCAGAGGTTGATGATAACCTTGCTGAAGCATTCCTTAGTGATGAACCTATATCAGCTGCTGAACTCGAGGTATGGAATTGTTATCCATCCCAGAAAAGCTAAAATGTGATTCTCGTAGTATGCTTACCTTTTCATCTAACTCAACATTAGCTTTAAGACTACTCCTTAAACCTTTGCCGGATCATGTTTTTGTTCCACAGGAAGCTATCCGTAGAGCTACTGTAGCACGGAAATTTGTGCCCGTGTTCATGGGTAGTGCTTTCAAGAATAAGGTGGGTTATTTCATTTTAGGCACGATCGTTTTGTAAGCCTGCTGCTGCAAGCTATTCCAGTGCACAACTTTTTGTTACTTTTGGATTAACTATAACTGAATAGAATCACTGTTCTCAACCACAATTGTCATAAAATGAAATCTCATTTCCGTGACAAATTTGTAAATTCCAACATGTTTCCCATTTCTTGGCTTCCACCACCTTTTCTTTATGTTGAAGTTACAGTTCATTGTTACTGACTTTGTGATTACAGGGAGTCCAACCACTTCTTGATGGTGTACTTAGCTACTTGCCGTGTCCTTCTGAAGTTAGTAACTATGCTCTTGACCAAACTAAGAATGAAGAAAAGGTATGCATATAGATNTTTTTCTCTCTTTCTTTGTAAAGGGACATTTGCATATGAATTTCTTATATCCAGTTTCAGTGTAAAGATCTCTTCACTGACTCTTCCTTCTTCGTCTTTTTTTTTTCTTTGTTGTAGAATATATGAAGGTATCATTAAGAAGGGCGATTTTATAATTAATGTAAACACCGGCAAAAAAGTTAAGGTAAGCTTGTTGTCAGAATAATATTTTATAAAATTTGGTTTTTGAAGGTACTGTCAATATGACAATGCATCTAAAGTGTAAACTAGCTTGTGAAGGTAGTACCCATTAAAGTGTAAACTAGCTTGTGAAGGTAGTACCCATTTATTTTTCTGAAAATACAGCCCGGTTTTATAAGATGATTTCATCTGGAGATTAGTGAAATTGAAGCATTTGGGCTGTTTCTGGAAAGCTGAGACCTGACCCCTTATTTGACTTTCTTATAGGTCCCTCGACTGGTTCGGATGCATTCAAACGAAATGGAGGTTAGTCATAGGACCTGATTTAGCTGTATATTGTGATTCTGAAATGAGATTTCTGGATTCTCCTGGGGAAATGAAATTCGATTTGTTTATGTTCTGATGAAATGACATTGTTGGTTTTTTATACACGTGATCTCTTTATCATGTCTTTATGAGATGCTTTTCATTTTCTAGGCCCTGTTTTCATCATTTATTCTTTTCCCCCCTTCTACAGGACATTCAACAAGCTCACGCAGGACAAATAGTTGCTGTATTTGGTGTAGATTGTGCTTCAGGTACTATTACAATAGCACACAAGTTTTTTCACATAATTCCCCTTTGTTCGCTAGCCTTGAATAGCTCGGTTTGTTTTTAGGTAAACCGTAATGTGTCGATCATGAGTTCTGTCTTTTCCCGTCTTACCATCTGAAACTTAATTTTATTTGCTTCTACACTGTGTTACTAGGGGATACATTTACTGACGGGTCAGTCAAATACACCATGACTTCCATGAGTGTGCCTGAGCCAGTTATGTCATTGGCTATATCAGCAGTCTCGAAAGATTCTGGAGGAAATGTGAGTCACTAATATATATATTATATATATAACGTTTGGATAGTGTTACTTCATTACATGATTGTAAAACTTGGTTTTATCAAGGAATATATATTCACTTACATAAATCTTCATTTGACAGTTTTCGAAAGCCTTGAATCGCTTTCAGAAAGAGGACCCCACTTTCCGTGTTGGTTTAGACCCAGAGAGTGGCCAGGTATGACTTCTACTGTTTCAACATTCCACGTACTAAAAAAAAATCCTGATATCTATGAATGTGCTGTACAAAAAAATGTATTCTCATTGTAATGATTTTATGTGTAGACTATTATATCAGGAATGGGGGAACTCCATTTGGATATATATGTCGAGCGCATGCGGAGGGAGTACAAGGTTTTTGTCTTTTTTTTTTTTCAGTAATAAGGAAAGAATTTTATTAGCTTGATATCATCATAATATTTTTCGTGGGTTATTCAAGGTTGATGCAATTGTTGGGAAGCCACGTGTCAACTTCAGAGAGACTATTACCCAGCGTGCTGAGTTCGACTATCTGCACAAGAAGCAGAGTGGGGGACAAGGTCAATACGGAAGGGTTATCGGGCAAGTTCACACTTATTAGTGATCTATTCTGAAATTTTCCTCTTTCATTCTCTTTGAAAAAAGAAAAATTCTCTTTCTGGCAGGTATATGGAACCACTTCCACCGGGCTCTGGTACTAAGTTTGAATTCGAGAACATGCTTGTGGGACAAGCTATACCCTCTAATTTTGTGCCAGCAATTGAAAAGGGTTTTAAAGAGGCTGCCAACTCGTATGCATTGATTTATTTATTTATTTTTTTACCTTTTCACTGTCTGAAGTTGTGATTATATATCAATAGCTTATGCGTTCTGATCTAAAAAAATGCCACACTTCGATTTTTTTCCGGTATTCACAGGGCGAGATGTTTTAAATAGTAGTAGTTACCAACTTGCGCAGTTCGTGGAGTTT